CGTTTCCTCCCCAACCAATAAAACAGAAAAAAAAAAAAATCATAGGGAGAGGGGAGAATAAAAGGGACGGTAACGATACATCATTGCTGGAACAGAATAGCAGACATTCTAGGAGCCAGGCCACAGGTGAGGCAGAGGAGGGGAGGGTTCCAGAGGCCCTGAGGGAGGGGCTGGGAGTGCAGGCCTAACTGCTTCTATGCCCCCCTCACCTCGACACCCCTCACCAACCCCATCCAGGCTCTGGTAATGTTTGTCATGATCAATGTTTTGATTTTTGAAAATCAAAGCTAGAGTTTTGGTACATTCTGTGGGCAACAGTAAAAAATTTTGCCTCTTTTTTTAAAACAATTTCAAACACCTGCCTAACAGTTACTCTAGCACACTGTAGCTACTAGCTACAGATGTTACTCTAGCTCTAACATCAAGAGCCAAGAGTTTATACACAGGTGAGTAAACACAGAAACCCCAGGCCTGTGTGGACTGTACTGCTGAGTCCTAAGGTAGATGAACCTCAGGTCCCATGATGCCCATTTAAAGTTACCCCTTAGGCTGGGGTGGGGTGACGACAGCTGCTAATGCGATACTCCCTGTGTGTTGAGCACCAGGAATATAAAAGAGAATAAGACACTGGCCTTATTCTTGCAGAAGAGACAGTCACCAAACAGCCAATTATAACACAATGTGATGTGGGCAGCAATGGCACAGTGAGGTATGTGTTAAGTTATACAGAGAGGTGGCTGTGAGCACTGATGGTAGCATGGGGTGCATCAGGGAAGACTTCACGGAAGAGGTGACACCTGACCAGGCTTTGAAGGAAGACAGGAAATTGGCCAAGTGAACCAGATAGAGAGGGCATTTCAGGCAGCAGGCAACAGAATATGCTGAGGCAAAAGGGGGCATGTTTGAGAAGCACAAGTTGTTTGCTGCTCCTTTGGAATAAGCAGCATGGCAGGAAGTGGAGGCGCAGAACTCGAGGGAGGGCAGACATGCCAGGACTTTGAATGTGAACTTGAGGGCAATGATGCACCAGCAAAGGGTTACACAGGGGATGCACAGGGGCATGGGAGCGCACTGAGGCCAAGGCTGCAGGCTGGAAGCCATCTAAGCTGCTGGAGACATGCAGGTAAGAGAGGCAGCAGAGACAGCAGGGCTGAAGAAAACTCAGCTTGAAACCCATGTTCTTTATTCCTCCTTCCTCTTGTGGTTCTCAAGATGGATCGACCTTCGCTCATCCCAGAGGACAGCACCAGCTCTAGGTCACACCTACTCCTGAGCCAGGCCTGGGGGTGGGAGGGGGTGGGGGGCTGGTCCAAAAGCCCTAGCCAGGCTTCCCTCCAAGGACAATCCCCCAAAGTGGTGGGATCTTGAAGTGCTGAGCCCGGAGTCCTGCTTCCCTGCAAAGATGGCTCTGGGACCCTCTAACCTCACTCAGAAGAGGAAAAGTCCCCTCCCCCAGGTCACTGGCCAGGTAGCAGAGTGGCCTTGGGGCCCAGCCTGGTTCACAGAGTCTGGGAGCTGGAGTCCGCCAGGGGGAAAAAGTGGGCGGTTCCTGCAGCTCCCTGGCCTGCAGGGATACCTGCCAGCAGGAAGGCCCGGATTGGGTGGGAAAGACGGGGTTCTGGGGCTGAGAAGGGAGAAAAGGGAGCAGCTTGCTCCTGGTGGGTTCCCAATCAGTCCAGAGAGGGTGGACTGTCATTATCATCTCAAAGCGGGAGGAAAGGGGCTGTGGGAGCTGGCTGACCCCCCCGCCCCCAGCATCTCTCTCTCTCAGGAGACTGAAGGGAGGCTGGGCAGGGCCTGAGGAAGGCAGCCCAGGCTGAGCCAAAGCTGCCCTGGAGAGTGGGGCTGGCCCGCCACCTGCTGGCCACTCTTGGGAGTGGGGATAGGAATGTGCAGGGAAGGACCGGGATTCTGAGCCTGTGGCATCAGTTTGGAGAAAGTTGGGAATGTACTGAGATGAAGAGAGGAAGTTTGCAAAGAATGCAAATGGAGTTCTGAATGAGAAGCTGCTGTGTCCGCGGGCAGGGAGTTCCTGTCACAAACATTCAATGATGCAGAGCCAACTTCCAGCCACTGGATGAGTCTCAGCTCCTCACTTCTCCTTTCCTTCCCACTGAGGGGCAAGAAGAAGACTGCTGTTCTCCAGACCCGATTAAAACACGGGCAGAGAACATGACTGAAATGCAACGTGAGAAATTCCTTTAGACAAAATGGTGTCCCCCGCCAGTGTGCACAGCCTGAAATTCACACATTGGCCATGCCCGTGGGTTACAGGGAGTGAAGACCGAGGCCATTCACTGCATTGCAACCTCATTCACTGTGCCCTTCCACCACATCACCCAGCCTATGGGCACGGGGAGGACAGAGGTCAACATGGTTAAAGCTGCAAGAAGGTTGCAACAGCCTGCAGTAATAATGGACACTTTCATGGTGTGTGTGTGTGTTTACATTTTTATTGAGTTCAGAGAGGAAGGAGGGAGAGGGAGAGAGAGATCGAAACATCAATGATGAGAGAGAATCATTGATCGGCTGCCTCCTGCACTCCGCTATTGGGGATCTAGCCTGCAACCCGAGCATGTGCCCTTGACCGGAATCAAACCTGGGACCTTCCAGTCTGCAGGCTGACGCTCTGTTCACTGAGCCAAACCAGCTAGGGCTATGGTTTTGTTTTTGTTTGTTTGTTAATCCTCACCCAAGGATATTTTTCCATTGATTTATTTTTTATTTTATTTTTTCCCCATTGATTTTTTTTGAGAGAGTGGAAGGGAGGGGGAGAGACAGAGAGAGAGATATCAGTGGGAGAGAGACACATTGATCGGCTGCCTCCTGCATGCCCCACACTGGGAATGGAGCCCACAACCTGGGCATGTGCCCTTGACCAGATCGAACCCAAGACCCCTCAGTCTGCAGTCTGACGCTCTATCCACTGAGCCACACCAGCTAAGGCAATATATCCTTAAATAGCATTTACTGTCTATCAGCACTTTTGTATTAACTCAGATTTTAATCTTACTTACATTTATTAACCCTACAAGGTAGATATTATTATCACTCCCACTTGGGTGTAGTAACTTGCAAAGGTCATAGAGCGGCGGTTCTCAACCTGTGGGTCGCGACCCCTTTGGTGGTCAAACGACCCTTTCACAGGGGTCGCCTGAGGCCATCCGGCACATCAGATATTTACATGACGATTCATAACAGTAGCAACATGACAGTTATGAAGTAGCAACGAAAATAATTTTATGGTTGGGTCACAACATGAGGAACTGTATTTAAAGGGCCAGAAGGTTGAGAACCCCTGTCATAGAGGTACAATGACGTAGAGACTGGATTTGAACCCGGAGAGCCCAGCTCTGAAGGCTGTGTTCTTCACCATGCACCGTGCTGCCATTTATTAGCTCAGCCTCCATACAGGAAGTGGCTTTCCTGGCAAATAGGTTTTCCAGTACCTACCCATCACCAAATCACGGCCAACCCTGACTAAGCCAGCAGAGAACTCGAAACCAAGGCCAAACACTGGGTTAAAGAGAAACAGGACTGCAGAGACCATGCGGGCGTGCAGTCACCGGGTGCACTGCCGACAGACCGCGCAGGCCAGAGGACCCGGAGACAGCACCTCTGCAGAAAGCGTCCCCTGAGCTCAGAGCCGAAGGACAGCGCTCTCCATAGATAAGCACACGGCAGAGATGCACACGCTTCGTGACAAGAGCCCTGGGCAAGCACCGCACAGAAGACAACACAGACCGGATCAGAACCGGGGCCACGCACATGACCGCTGTGGTTAAGATGACGTGGTGTCTCGGCAGGAAAGGGAAGACTGACACTGAACCTGCTCAAGGTGCTTCCATGGTGACTATACTGAGTATGTATTATAAACTCCACCTCCCATTCAGTCATTCCCAACCTGAGCTACCTTCTCAAGGGATGAATGTGGGTGCAGCCTGCCTGTTAGGATGACAGAGCATCTGGGGTACTTAGTGAATGGGTGCATGAATTCATTCATTTAATACGTATTTCCTGGGTGCCTGCTCCACGGCCTCCTTTGGACACACAGGGATGCAAGTTTCTCTCCAGCCCCCATGGCCATCCACAGATGGCCTGTCAGAACTGCCCTGGACAGGGAGCTGCCACGTCTCCACAGATGGGCTCACTTCCTGGATAGTAGTACTTATCTCCTGTCTCTACCCAAAATGTGGAGAAGAGACCTAGTCTCCACCTGCAGCTCCTGTGAGAAGGGTCTGCTCCCCGCTCACCTGAGCCCCGAAGGCTGTCTTGCACTCAGCTGGTGCTCAGTAACTACCTATGGAACAGCCCCTGCGATGACCTTGGGCACACCTGTCTGGTCTCTGCCCCGGAGAGCTTACCATGAAAAGAGGCTGCAAGGAGTGTCGCTTCCACCCACCTCTGGTGTTAAGAGGCCAGGCCACCAGCACATGTAAGAGCTGGGCTGCACACCCAGCCACTCTGGTCCCTGGGGTTTTAGTGAGAACTGTGCACCTCTGTTGGTTTCCTTTAATCTCGTAGAAACCTCATGTAATGGGGGGAGGATGCCTGAGGCTGAAAGAGGTGAAGCAACTATTTCAGGTCTTCCAAGTTTTCTGCCTTTAGAAAGCTAAGAGGGTGTATAATATATAATGCTTCCAGTTGGCTCTGGGCTGCACCCCATATGAAACACATGGAGATGCTTGCAGCAAAGCATATGGCCAAGCACAGTGAATGGTATAAACAGACTATTACAGTCTCCTGTTCCTTCAGCTCAGGGTTGGCTGTCAAATGGATTACAACATCTGTTTTAGCATCTAGAGCTTCTGGGATTTGCAGGTAAAGGATTGAGGACCTGTAGGTGCCTCATGCCTGGCACATTGTAACCACATGGCAAATGCTCGTCTCCCTCCCTCCAGCCGGTCTCTGCACCACCCAGCCTCACCGAGCCCCACCAGAGCAAGATAAGCCTCATCTCCTCTCTCGCCTGCAGCTGGCAGGCCTACAGTTCCGCTTACCAGTCTGTGTGGGCATCGTCGATCACCAACAGGACCCTGGGCCTTTGAACAACAGGAGTGGAGGGAGCCGGAGGCTCCACCGGCCCCGCGGGGGCCTGCGAGGTCTGCTTCATGGCACTGGAGAAGGAGCTGAAGAGGCTGGACCCGGGCGAGGAGAAGGAGGCCGCCAGGGGCTGTTGGTGCCTGCGCTCCATGGCCGGGGACGAGGGCGAGCTGGTGGAGCTGTCTGGGCGGTGCAGGTCCGCCATGTAGCCATTGGGCAGGTTGGCCACGAAGCTGCTGTCGGAGAGGCGTCGCCGGAGGAAGTTCATGGCTGCAGATGGAGAGATGGCTGGTTCCTCCGCACGCGGGTCTAGGAGAGGCCGGGGCACAGGCTGCCACGAGACAGAGTAGGGGGACTTGGACCAGAAGGGCAGGGGAATCCCACACAGGTCGGCGTCAGCGGCCTCTGATTACCTGTGGAAATAAGCCAACACACACGTGAGCGGAAACGACCTCCGCCCCTAGGAGCAAACAGACATGGCCCCGTCCTGCCTGATGCTGGGGCAACCTCAGTGGGGCACCCTTTAGAAAAGATGTAATTAGAGCACACCCTTTTAACCCAAAATTTCCACTTTCTAGAATTCTAGCCCAAGAAAGGAATCTGAGTTCCAGGTAAAGCCTCCTGCACAAATGTATTTCCCCCAGCATTCTTTGCACGAGCGAAATCCTAGAAAGGATCTCAATGCTCAATCCCGGGGCGGCTGAGTAAAAAGCACAGAACAATCACTCCGTGAAACCTTGTGTGGCTATTAGAAAGGGGACTTAAAAAAGGATTTTTGGTAACAAAACAAATTCACGTTGGAAATAAAAAGATCACAATACAAGAGTATAGGTACAGAATGACTACAACCACATACAAGTTCACTAACCGATTTGGCTCAGTGGATAGAGTGTCGGCCTGCGGACTGAAGGGTCCCAGGTTCGATTCTGGTCAAGGGCACGTACCTTGGTTGCAGGCACATCCCCAGTAGGGAGTGTGCAGGAGGCAGCTGCTCCATGTTTCTCTCTCATCGATGTTTCTAACTCTCTATCCCTCTCCCTTCCTCTCTGTAAAAAATCAATAAAGAAAAAAAATATATATATATATGTATGTGTGTGTGTGTGTGTGTGTGTGTGTGTTTATTTTAAAGTTCAAATACCAAAACGTTGGAAACAAAATACATCGGAATATTAATGCTAACGGTGGTCATATTAGGGTAATGCGATTACATGGTTATTCCCCCCTCTCTTTGTGTCCACTGGTATGAGATTTATTACATGCCCTCAGAAAGGTCTCTGGGTCACTTTCTGGTCTGTCCACACATTCTCAGAGTCAAATACTCTTCTGATGTATTAATTTTACCTCTTCTTGAACTTCATATAAATGTAATCAATGTGTTACTTTTTTGTACACGGCGACTTTCCCTCAACATGATGGTTTTGAAACTCAGGTGTGCTGTCTGTATCCACAGACATTCTGTTCTTCATCACAGGGTAGCATCTCACTGGACGGATAACCCAATTATTACTGCATTCTCTTGTTGATGGACATTTGAAATGTTTCCCGTTTCGGGGTATTGTGAATAGAAGTGTTATACGGATTTCTATTTATTTAAGTATTTTTGGGTGAAGAGAGACTTTGCTTTGTCAATATTCATACCTAGAAATTAGTTTGTTGGGACATGGGATAGGCATATGTTTAACTTTATAAAAACTGTCAAAAAAATTTCCCCCAGTGGTTGTGCTATTTTGCACACTTCATCTGAGAGTTCCAGTTGCCCCAAACCCTTACCAACACTTGGTTGTTATTTGTCTTTTTCATCTTAGCCATTCTAATGGGTGTAGAATAGTATCTCGCTGCGTTTTTCATTTATTTCCTCTGATACCTAATGAGGTCAAGTGACTTGTATGGGTTTCCTGGCCACTGACATATCTTCTTTTGTAAAGTGTCTGTTCAAGTCTATGGCCCATTTTAAACAGGTGGGCTGTTTATACTTTTATTATTTATTTGTAGGAATTCGTTCTACATTCTGGATATGAGCCTTTTGTCAGATATGTATATTATGAATATTTCCTCTCAGTCTTTGGCTCGCCACCCTTCCATTTCCTTCATGAGCAGAAGTTTGGCAGAATAAAATAACTTACAAAAAGCAAATTGTTACTTGAGATAAAAACATCCCAAATGAGAAAAATAAATTCTACCATAAGATGAGACCATACTGCCCTGGCCAGTGTGGATCAGTTGGTCGGAGCATTGTCCCATGCTCTGATGGGTAGTGGGTTCGATTCTTGGTCAGGGCGCATATAATCAATGTTTCATTCTCACACACACTTTCCCATTCACTAAAATCAAGGAAGGCATGTCTTTGGGTGAGAATTAAAAAAATATTTAATTTTTTTAAAAAAGGATGAGACCATATTTTGGTTATTAAAATATTATATCCTATCTAATAATAGACAAACATGGTAATTAACCGTACCTCCGACACGCTTCCCATTGGCTTATCAGGGCGATATGCCAATTAACTGCCAACCAAGATGGCGGCCGGCAGCCAGGCAGCTGAAGCCAACAGGAGGCTTGCTTGTTCCAGTGAAGGAGGAAGCCAAGGTTTCCTGCCTGCTGCTGCTGGGCTCTCAGCTTGCACTCTAAGAAACAATGTTCCAATTATAGAAGCTAAACAAACCCCAGATACCTGCTTTCAGCCAGCCAGGCCTCAGAGCTGGAGTTGCAACAGTGTTTCAATTATAGAAGCCAAACAAACCCAGATGCCTGCTTTCAGCAGCCGAGGTCTCAGAGCTGGAGCCAAGCCTCAGAGCTAAAGCCGGCTCTCAG